CAAAGACAATGTGATCCTACCAGAGTACAACCCAATCAATTTTGAGTACTCTGATCCTTCAATAAATTTAATTTGTGGGATAAGCGTAAGGTATCAGCAAAAAAGCTGTAATTCGGAAAATTTCAGAGATAAATCAATGGATACAAAAACAAAATGCTCGCAAAAGAAGCCTCTTTCGTATAGGGTGCAAGCACTTTGTATACCATTACTCAATTAACACACAGGGTGAGTCAAAAATTAAGAATAAATCATGGTTCGAGTTATTCCACCACCATCAAGGAGGCTTTGAAAAAAATTTCACCTCTTTATTTTTTTTAAGACCTACCAACAAATAAAAAAAATACTATTTTTTATTTTTTTAAGACCTACCAACAATTAAAAAAAAATACTATTTTTTATTTTTTTAAGAAGATAGGTCAAATATCAAGTGCTTCACTTTCTTTGGAACTGAGTGTATTTTTATTCAAACATACAAGGTCAATTACTCCGTTACGAAGTGCGATAGACATTTTTCATATAAAGTACTAACATTATTTTGGCTCACTCTATCAGCCATATCATTTAAGGCATGACCTTTCCGGACACCCTGTATATACATTCTATGTAAAAGGGATTCCGAGTATTCAATCCCTATTTTGTTCGTGTCAGATGAGGCTTACAAATTATTCGACTTTGAACCTAAATGAATAAATCTTGATAAAAAAGCTCACACTGAAATGTTCAGTCAATTTCACACTGCATAGTTTTGAAAACAATGTTAGTGCTGGAGACCATATTTTATAAGATACTTGTAAAATGAATGATAACGTTTAGATGAACTAGAAGTCTGTAGCAAATTTTCGATAGAGAGAGTGTAAGACTATATCTGTCGATCCATAATATATTCAAAATAATTGCAACTCTTTCCCCTACAACTCATAATGGTGTGATATTAAACTTATTCATTCCGTTTATTCTTCGTTCCCATGTTTCATATAGAATAAACTGTTTTTTCAATAGGTACTAACTAGATACTGAATATTATTATTGTGACTTGTCCCCCTCCCTGAGATTATTTTTGGTGTCATTTTGAAGCAACTTGGGAAACATTTTTAGAATCAGCTTAGCAAGGAAAGGCTAAAAATTTAGAACTGTAGGATGTTCCATTTCGAAAACTGTTGATGACGTTATCAATTTTGAATGGTTTGCCCCTCGTTCTATCTTGTAGAATATGTCTCATACAACACCCTATTTAATTTTTATCACGCCAAGCTCGGAAACTATTTGCATGGGCCGACTCATGAAAGGAGGCACGCTAGGCAATTGCAGAGGACGCCAAAGGACCCCGCACTTTTTCTATATAAAAATGGCGTTCTGTCGAATTCTCTGAATTTCTGGTATATTATAGAACTCGACCTAATGATCAAATATGCCGAGTTCCAATCCGATCCTATGACCAGTTTTTGAGATACAGGGTGTTGAAGTTGAGAAATGCCTCCTTTTCATCTACCTATATCTCCAAGAAAAGACAAATGAATCAGAATTTTCTGCTGGCAGTTTTTTAGTTCAACCTTAAGGTACATCACCGGCTAGAGTATGATCGATGGTTTATCGGACACCCTGTATAATACAACTAACTCATTTCCACGCCACCCCAGAGGTAGAGTTTCCAGCGCATATTTTTTAAGTGGTATCCCCATTAGGTCTAGTCCACTGCACGAATAATGTCAAATGTTTATATAGATTGATTTCAGGAAAAAATTAAACGAATGAATTGTTCATAGGAACACTATCGTCAGCTTCAAATTACTTCCGGACCGATATCAATATTGTCAGGTTGCAATCGATCTGCAGCATCGTCAATACAATTGAAAAGTCTATTTGATGGAAATCGAACATTTCCTTGAATACTAGCGAAACCTTGAAACCATAATACACTAGCCACATGCGCACAAGTCCCTAATGTCCTAGGCATTTCATTATATTCAATATATGGAAAACTAGTCATAGCAGGGAGCTGAAAATTTTTCATCTCATTGAGGTATTGATACTTAGAATATTAATGAAAAAAAAATCTGACTTTAACGGTGAAAATCTAAAATTAGAGGGTGATGGAAAAACAGTAGTTTTTTGATATTTTTTTGTAGTTGGAAATTTTTTCAATCAATAAATCAATCTGTATACCATGAAATGCACCATAATGTGTCTTCAAAAATTATAATCAATAGCCTAAATCAACCCAATAATACGAGGTGGCTCATTAAACTTTATTTTCTAAACATCAGCATTCACGGAACACCATGTATAATCAATACATATAATGAATCAATTTCATGTAAGAAGAACATATCGAATGATAATTTTGATTTTTTTATTTTTATCAAGTTGTAGTATCGATATTTAGTAATTGAAAATTACACAATAATTCAGATGTGAATCACCCTGTGATAAAGATCAGCTTTGGTTGATTCTGTACATGGTTGTTGTACCTTAAGGCTAAACTGAAAAACTGCTAGCAAAAAATTCTGATTCATTTGTCTTTTCTTGGAGATATGGGTAGATGAAAAGGGGGCATTTCTCAACTTCAACACCCTGTATCTCAAAAACTGGTCATAGGATCGGATTGGAACTCGGCTTATTTGATCATTAGGTCGAGTTCTATAATATACCAGTGATTCAGAGAATTCGACAGAACGCCATTTTTATATAGAAAGATTGCGGGGTCCTTTGTGCAAGAAAAGATATTAATGAGTCTCCATAAGAAACAATAAGACGCTTTGGCACCATTTTTTACCTTCCAGTTCACGTTATTTTCACCAATATAATCGCATCTACGTAGAGACGACTGAGGTTCTTCAACTCAACCCAATAGCACTAAACACATAGTATAGCTTTATGGTAAGGGGGTGCGCGGAGCAGGGAACTGAACTGTGACGTAACTGTGTTTCCGTCATGGTTTGTGCTCGGGCATTCTGTAGGCGGACTCTGATGATTAGAACTGTCATTGTAGAATAGCTTCGAAAGCAATGCGAAAATTATTTGTAGAAACGCATATCGACACTCCAATAAATCGTGTTTTCATGTAGAATTGGATCATCGGTAAACTTCGGGATTCTGGTTAGAAAACTAGTAACTTTCTTTCATTGCGTGTTCTGTGTCTGGTTCAGTGTCAATGTTATGGCAGATGACAGAAGAAGGTTCAAATTTGAAGTTTTGAAAATAAAAAATAATTATAAACTTATTATAAATATCAAATTCATAAGGCAGAATTAAGCAGAATGTTTCCCCATATTAGATACGCTGCTAACGAAAACCAAAGAGCTATTTACAGACAATTTCATTTTGATCGAAGAGTTATGAGAGATGCTGCTGATCCCTTTTCCTTGACTGATGAACACTTCATCCAATTGTTTAGATTGGATAAGGAGTTAGTTCGATTCTTGTTTGATGAAATCGGTCCTCATATGAGGAATTCGAATAATTATAAAGCTATACAACCCTTAGGAAGCATATTTGCAGTCTTGTCATTCTATGCTACAGGAACTTATCAAAGGGTGATTGGGCAGTCATTCAATATATCAATGTCTCAACAAAGTATTAGTAGGTGTATCAAGGAGGTATCACAATTGATAATTGATCAGCTTTCTGAGAGATACATAAAATTTCCACAAACTCAATTCGAGAAAAATCGAATAAAGGAAAGGTTCATGATCGAAACCCATTTTCCAGGGGTTATTGGTGCAATAGATTGCACACATGTTGCCATTTTAAGACCTACAGAAGAGGAACACAATTACTTTAATCGAAAAGGATACCACTCAAAAAACATACAATTGGTAAATATGATTCAATCATTCTGAATCTTCTGAATATCTAAGTAACATTCAATTTTCTAGATATGTGATTATGATCTGAAAATTTTGAATATAAATGCCAGATATCCAGGTCTTGTCATGATGCTTTCATCTGGAGGAATTCCATTATACATGATGAGCTGAGACAATGTTATGATGATGGGGACCACAATTCATGGTTATTAGGTGATTCAGGATATCCTCAGCAACAATGGCTCATGACTCCTGTATTGAATCCTGTGAGAGGTTCACCCCAGTATCGATATAATAGGAGGCATGGCAGTGCAAGAAATTGCATTGAGAGGTGTAATGGGGTTTTGAAAGGTCGTTTCAGATGTTTGGCAAGAAAATTACAATATAACCCTGAGAAAGTGGGGAATATAGCAGTGGCATGTGCAGTATTGCACAATTTGTGCCTAATGCGAAATATTGAACACCCTATACCAGATCAGCCAGAAGATGGAAATGATGACTATTTTATACCTGCTGATGTACTGATCGATTTTGGTCAAGGGCAAAGGGATCAAAATAACAGAAATTTACTGATACAAAGATATTTCACATGAGTACTGAATGTCAATGAATATTGAATATATCAATTTATAAAATTTTGTGAGTGTAATTCTTGTTCTCTGGGCTGAGAATAACAATGAAAATGTCAGTGTATTCTTTATAAGAAAACGAAACTCAAATAAGAGGCAGTTTATTCAAGATGTATCACATGATGATTTCAGGAACTTTAATTAGACTTGAACAAAAATAATAATTCCCACGAAAACTTAACTCAAAATAAACTCTGAAGAATCACAAGATCAATATCACATAATGATTGTTTTAAATAAAATTATTTAATTCTAAAAAGGTAAGTCAAGTACCTAAACCTAATACATCATAAAACAATATTATTTGTTCATTGACAAAAATGATCTACAAGTGTCTGAAAAGAATTTGCAATCTTACAAATATTATTATTAATATTTTCAAGTGAGGTCAAAACATCTTCATGCATAGCGTTTACATCAACTCTGCTATTCTTGGAAGTATTTTTCACTTTTTCATTATTATTTTTAGAATCATTTTTTGTTGTAGTACACTTTACCACCTCCTGCTCATCATTTTCTAATGTAGGGATAATGGTGTATTCATGATCAAGCATTACTTCTTCAATTATGATATTCTCATCTGCTGATTTTTGCTTGAATTCCTGGGATCTGAAAATACATTTGAACTAGATGAGTTATGGAATTCTATAATCCATAATATTGAAGATATACCTTTTATGTATTCTTCACTTCGAGCACCATTTGGTCCTAGACTTTGCTTTTTTTCCTCTACATGTTCATTCAATTTCCTCTTAAGACCTGAAAAATATAAGTCAATGATTAGTGGTATAGGTAATAATTAATATTTTTTCCTATACACTGAGTACCTACTAATGAGGGAACCAGACATTGAATTATTTCATTATGATTGTGTTTTGAGTCTTTTTGTGTACCCCCACCTTTCTCTGCAACAGTCTTATCCCCATAAGCAGCTGCAGTTCCCATCAGGCTCAAAAGTTTTTCTTCCAAAGTTGTTAGCTTTATATTGATAGAAGGACCTCCACCAGTGCCATGAATATACTTATATATTTTAGCAGATTTAGCTTTGGTTTTTGATTTCCAGTCTGCAAGCTTTTTTTTCCATTCTTCAACAGACCTTTCACCTTGGCCTAGACTATTTAATTTGGTGGCCAAATCTTCCCATAACTCCACATTTTTCTGTTTCCCGTTGAAGTGGGTGCTAAATCGGTTAGTTATTATTTCCTTGTGTAATTCGGAAAACTCTAATATAGTAGTCCAGTGATCATTTGAAACACGCATTTTCTTCGGATCCTGATACTGAACACATTCACACTCGTTTTTGGAAATAAAAAAATAATGATTCACAATCACAATATCACAAATAAAAAATTTTTTCTTTTGTTTCTAGTTTCTAGTTATATAAAAAGTTAGGTTAAGTAGAACATTAGTAGAACCAAGAGGGCATCTCTCTCTGCTAAGACTTTCTCTGTTTGACACACATAATTAAACGGGTTTCTAGAGCTAACATTTTTCGTATCAAGGCGATTCTATCGGTGGTTGCGGGACAAGGGGATTTCAGTAGAAAACGTTCATCAGAGTAGCAAATTTCGATTCAATTCGATTCTACTACGCATTTCTAATCATCAGAGTAGCAAATTTCGATTCAATTCGATTCTACTACGCATTTCTAATCCTCAGAGTCCCACTGCTTGTTATTCTGATTGTGGATTTTGTTTTGTGTCACAACTGTCACATGGTGATTTCAATTTCAGATATGAATCTGAATTCGAAAGTAATTCACCATATTATTTATGATGTTGATTATTCTTTATTAACGATCATACTCAGTTCTTCTTTTAAGCTGAATATGCTTTCAAGAGTATATCGCATGACTACAATGATGTTTGGGACAACCTCTTGACCGTTTCTTGATCAATTTCTGGAGAATCACAATGCACAGAAACATCTCGAGAAAAATCCTGTAGCTGCGAATGCAATAATCCAAAATCATTTTGTTGATGATTACCTCGGTTTCAACGGATATCGAAGAGGAAGCAATTCAGCTGGTAAATCATGGTATTCAAATACCTTCTGAAGGAGGATTTGTGATTGGAAACTTCATTTCCAATTCGAGGAAAGTCATAGATCGTATACCAAAACATCTTGTTTCTAAAACTTAATTGGCCACAGAGGTTGACAAAAACTCTAATCCTAAACGAACTTTGGGAATGACGTGGGACCCTGATATCTATCTTGCTTGCGAAAGAATGAATTCAGATCTGCACTATATCGCAAATATATCGAAAGCTCATTCTTTGAAACTAAATGAAACGAAAACCGAAATCGTTGTTTTCGGCAAAGACAGAAACGAAATTGCCGAAAGCCCCGACTTCAAAATCAAAATGAACGACGTTAAATCCTACTAAATTTTGCAAGAATCTTGGTGTTTTCATAGAATCTGACCTCAAGTTTGATAAACATGCCAGTCATTTAATCAAGAAGTCATTCTCCAAACTAAAATTGTTATACCTCCACAAGGACATCCTGAGCACCGACGTTAAACTCAAACTTTGTGATTTCTTAGTTTTATCAGGGTTGGCATATTGTGACATTGTTTATTGGCCAGCATTGTTACATAGAGATAAAGCTAGCCTTCAAAGAATACAAAATGCATGCATTAAACTCTCATATAATCTACGCAAGTATGACCATTTCAGCAAAGAATTCAAGCAATCTGGCTGGTTGAATTTAGATGAGCGATTCAAGCTCCATATTTCATGCCTGGTCTATAAAATAAATAAACAAAGTACTCCTCCATATTTGTTTAATAAACTCTTGAAGGGATCAGATATACATGACAAACCGACTCGTTCACGTGACTGCTACACAGTCCCCAAGCACAATACTGCCCAATTCCAGAGATGTTTTTCCTATGTGTCCACACACGTTTTTAATACCTTACCTGCCCACGTCAGATCTGCCCAGACTATTAACATGTTCAAAGCACATGCCAAAGCCTGTATACATAATATGAGAAACACCAACTCTTGACGAGTAGATCAAACTATCAATTCAATATTTCAATTTGTTGTTCTATTATATCAATTATTCATATTATCATTATAATCATTATATGCTATTTATAATTTATATTGTATATTATATAGTATGTTTCATGCCATTTTCAACAGATTACAGGTAATGAGTTATTATTTTGATCATTATGATCACTGTATGGGAGGTGCTGTTACAGCCCTCCCAAAGGGGGTGGAAGTGATGGGTGCCAGAATGGGGTGGGAGGTGCTGTTACAAGTATCTCATCAATCCACTATTCGCGTACTGGACGACTAGTGAATGAATGAATGAAATCTCTATTGGTAGGATACGTCGTAATATACAATACAATAATTATTTCTCTAAGCTTAAAACTAAAAAATAAATGACTGAATATAATTAACTTCACTGTTATTTTAATCAATTATACTAACAGTATAATAATAATAATACATAATCATGAGCGAATATAGCAATAATATTAAGAATCAGTAATAATATTAGAAATTAATAAATTCTTGAAGTCATTCATTGATTTCGATTCTTTGATGGAAGTAGGTAATTTATTGAAGTCATTGAGGCCTTCTTAGAAGAGTATATATATATACAGTATGATGCAAATGTATGGAATAAATTCATTATTTCAGAAATGGGCGACATTTGAAGAAATTCCAAAAACACGTGAGTTTTGATTTTTGAAACCTCATCTCATGACATTCATATGAGAGATGTTACGTCACCGGTGTTGGAGTAATGACGTAATGGACGGTTTTTTTAAATACAAACAGGGGTCATGTGACTCCTCGTTTGAAAGGTCTACTGATCGTCTATCCAATAGTCAAAATTTTGCAAAAGAAGATTGAAATTAAAATGGATTATCATTTGGTTAACTGAATCTTGCAGAGATCTTCTACTGAGAATTGAACATCGAAGGGTCGTCTAGTTGAAAAAATACATCGATAAAAAAGTTCTGAACTCTACTTTTTGGATTTTATTCCATACATTTGCATCATACTGTATATATATATTCTGTCTTTGTAAGTGCAGATCATTGTTTCCTCTTATACAGGGGGTTTCAACAAAATCTGACCCCCTTGCTAGGGAAGGTAGAATACTGCAAAATAAGTTGATTGCTCAGTGAAGAAATGCAACGGCATCCGTTTTCAAGATGCAAGTTGTTAAAAAATGAATTTTTACACATTTCTTAGAATTATGTTTTTAAAGTTGACACTTCGCATGAATTCGTTCTCAAATCTGACTCTCATAGAGGGCGCTAGTTACACGGTTCGTACCGAGTAGTTTTAGATATAACTTTTGTGAGGTCAGACTTCAATCCGAATTTGATGTGAACTTGAACAAGTTAGTACTGAAAGAAGTTATACAGCGTGTCTCACTTTGAACTGTCCCCACTCTATATCTCAGCTATCAGTCGTGCGATTCTTACCAAATTTGGACTGGTATGAAGAACCATCAATATGATCAGTCTTTCAGAGTCAAACATCATTATGGACAGTACCGTGCGTTTTTTATTGAAATAAAAATGAGTCTATTTTCTAATGAAATTATATTAGAATTTTTTTGCAGAAAAACTAACTTCATAGTATTTTTCCTCATGCTTTCGAACCTCCAGTTGCAAAAAATAACATCATTAAGAATTAACAGGATTGGCTTCATTTTTTTCATTTTCTGTCTCGAAAAATTGTGAATTCAAATTACAAATTTTATTTGCTCGTTCAATAGCTCCAGTAGATAGAAAATCATGCTTTGAAATAACAAAAAAAGATATACTTTTTTTTTCTGCAACCGACACAAAAGTCCGTCCATTTTCTTTGATTGAGGAGCTGAAAAGGATGTACTAGGTCATCAAGAATAAACAACATTGTTATGGTTGGATATTTGGGTTGGGACGCATACCTGTTTTGTTCCCTATTTCGGCAGTTTTGGCATTTCATACCCATGCTGGAGATATAAATACACCATATTGTCAAGTATTTTTGTTTTGATCAGGAAAGCCTTCAAGATTCACAGACTTGCTTGAACTGTATTTCATTCATTCTCGGGATCTGATTGATTGGATATTTTGTTTTGGAATAATCACGGCCAGCAATACTTTTTTATCTCACACAACGATATTGTTTATCTTCGTTTGATTACCGAGCCAAACAGTAGAATATGAAGAGAAATAAATAATCGCTATTATTATTGTTGATATGCTCACTAACCTAAAATTTTCCACTTCTTTTTCTGATACTTGGCACGGTATTTGCTATTAGGGTTGATACGTGGTCCAAATGAATTCATCCATTCATCGATTCGATAGAATACACAAATGGGTCACTCTGTGGTTGTATTCATATTGAAACTACAATTCGAATATCCTTGAAAATTTTATAAACCTCATCTGTAAATGCAGGTAGAATATTATTACCACACGGATTATTTGTTGCATTGCATACTGATTGTAACAAAGTAAAGTCATCGTCCACCAATATTCTAATGTAGAGTAGTCTGAGGTCTTGCTTCAATCTACTTACCTATATTATTATAATAAAGGTATTGTATCTGTCAAGTAAGTCACATTGGTGGTTACTTCACATATTCATTTTAGTTAATTCTTTCGGTTGCAGAAAAAATAGCATGTTTCATTCGGATCTAAAGTGACTTTGTTTGACTCGCAAATTTAGCTTTCGCTCGGCTCCGCTAAACGCTCCGCCTCGCAATGCAAAATTCGCTTTTCAAAGAGAGTGTCAATTTTGATCGTAATAAAACAATCTACTATTGTTAAACGCACCGTCTCTGAGCAAATAATTAATTACGTTCGAAAAATGCTGTTTGGATGTGCCTGTTGTTCTGAAACCTTTCGTAGAAATTATATAAAAATTCACATATTACAAGAGTTTAAAACCATTTTGTGAAAAAATGTCTAATATGATTTAATGAAAAATCGACTTCTTTTCATTTTAATAAAAACGTAAGGCTATGTCCAAAATGATGTTCGTTTATGCAAAACTAATCAAATTAATATATATTCATACCAGTCCAAATTTGGTACGAATCGCACGACTAAGATATAGAGGGGGGCCTTTTAAAGTGAAACACAGTGTACATATAAAGCAATATTGTTTCTCTAACACTATTTGAGAAATAGAACGTTCCATAACGTCAAATTCTTCTTGAATAAACCTGATTGTGTGTGTTGGAATGAATAATTTTTACACTGCTACCGACCGATAAGAAGCTACTTATCCGCATACTCGCCGCTATGGTTACGCCCAACATTTTATCGAGATATCCTCTTGATGTTTCGAAATTCGAATACCCTGATAAATTCGATTACCCTGATATTTTTCAAACGTTATTTATTTTTCAAATCGTCAATAGTCTTGTATTTCCAAACTTGTCAACCGTACACTCGTACACGCTTTTCGCTCGTTTAGAATATTGGTCATTTCAATACTTGTTGTAGAATATACTATTTCTATTCTTTGAATTGGCTTATATCACAAAAGAATTTTATTTCATAATTCGATAGAACTCACCCAAACTAGCTCGCCACCGCAAACCGTTTCTTGCTGTGAGCTCCCTACGTTTTATAAAAAATTATTGAAGTCCCCGATTTTTCGGACCTCTGAAAACGAGGCGATGATGTGACGTCAAACCCTACTACTGAAACAAAACTATTCCAGACAGAGATGAATGATACATGATTTCTGACAGAGTGAATTAGCGCGAGTTGAAAGGATTAATAATATATCAGTTGCCTCAGTCTCCGTCGGGCGTTTGGTATTTTCTTGTAACTATGGCGAGATGAGGTTTGTACGTCATAAGATAGGGTCCGTTTTCAGAAGGTACTATCATTTATGTCCAAAAATGAAACATTCCAGTTAATTTTTCGATCGAATTATGTCGTCAATCATTATTTATGAATAAAAGGATCATTTTAAACATGGTTTGAGTTGAAAGTTCTACTAAGGTGTACACGCCCATTGTACGTCGTGCATCAGTTTCTCAAAATAAAGTCAGTACAACATATGATCACATTGGAATGATGAACGAAATAATAATGAAATATGATCATGGGTAATATGAACGAATATACACTTTTACGTGCTCGTATCCATGATACTCTTTGAATATTATTTGATGGTGCTTCAGATGAATTCATCATCATACTAGATAGATACCTTATTTTAGGAATCGTCCCAAAAAATATGTATGTTTTCAAATTCATCCGGCGATGGGCCTAGATCTCGAAAATTATCGAATCTCAATTTCAAATAGAACCTAGCTTGAATCAATACTGAAAATCGTAAAAAAAATACGATAAAAAAATCATATACTCTAGAATACTTGACGTTTGACGATTTTTAGAGAGTGAGGGCACTCTTGTGATTTCTTGAAACATCTGAAAGGAATACTATAATAATATAAGAGATGCAATTACTTTTTCTGATCCTCTTATTCATTGTACGAATGCAGACATATCTGGCTATTTATCGATAACTAAATTGTTCTAGAGTTGTTCTAAAATTGTTCTTATCCATCATTCGGTTGCCCCCTTACAAGCAACCCTCAGATGTCTTCAAGAGACTTGTGCGAGCAAGGAATGACGGGGATCTTACCTTTCAACGTGTGATCCCAAACACTTTCTTATGCCATCAGAAAAATTTCTGCGTTCGTGGTGGGAATTGAACCCACCTACCGGCAATCCAACGTTTATAGAACATTGACGCTTTAACCACGAGACTACGCTGGCCACACTGACAAGATATACTCTCATATACGTAAAGCAGCCTAAATAGACTACTGACGGTAGACCGAAAAAAGGACAAACATCCGATGACTTCACATGTTTCAGATTTTTTTTGTATATTGTTAGGGTACCTACCAGTAGTGTGAAACCAGGTTTTCAGCTTCGAAAGACCTGTGCTAACTTCGTGGTGCTCGAAAAACCTTGGATTTTATCCCATCACTGATTTGTTTTTTATCCGAAACTTCTGGAAGGGTACTTCCTACGGAAAAGGCAATTCATGCTTTTTTGAAGCTGTGAAAATTTCTACAATTTGAGCCCAGCCCTGATTTTTTAAGTCCGATGGGTCCCAATAAACAATTCCAGTTTTTCTCGTCTGTCGGGCTGAATATTGGTTGTATTAGATAGATAGATAGATAAGATAAATAAACTTTATTTTCCTTTTGACAATTACATTTAAAATTGTATAGGAATCGTCAATACAGTCTTACTAACTAAAGGGACATATACTCGTCTACACTATAAAAACAGTTATGTAACAGAAAGTCTTTCAATCTTCTTTCGAAAATGGCCAATGTTTCACAGTTTTTCATGTTGACTGGCAGTGAGTTGAAAATTCGTGGGGCCATGAGATTAGGAGAACTGTATGCTAATTTACATTTACCAAATGGGACATATACATCTTTTTTTTGCCGGGCATTTACATTATGTTTCGATTAATTGGGAACAAAATATTTATCATAATTTTTATATACCAACACACAATATTCAAATAAAAGACAAGGCAATGTTAAAATTTTATAGTTGATAGACATATTTCTGCAGGATTTTCTCATAGGAACACCTCCCATTATTCGTACTATTCTTTTTTGAACTATAAAAACATCTTTCCATTATGAAGATAGGCCCCAGAAACATAGACCATACCTAAGTCTAGAGTCAATCTGAGCATAATACAAGGTCAACAATTGATTCATATTCAAAACTTGTTTTAAGTTTCTCAATTGATATGATATTGTGTTCAATTTCTTCGTTAATAGTGCACAACGGTTATGCCACCCCAAACATTGATCGATAGAGAGTCCCAGGAATTTGGTGCTTTCACTATCTGTAATAACAAGATCAGAATTTTCCTTTGCCTGGAAAGTAATAAAGTCACACTTTTTCTGACGATTGTGAAATCGAATCGAAACTGTTTTATCAACATTCAAGTAAAGGTTATTTGCAGAAAACCATCTATATTCAAATCTTGAAAAACTTGATTGCATTTATACATGGTCATAGATGTATCAATTGACTTATCGAGGTCATTAACATAAAATAGAAATAATATAACCAACGTAGGTGATCCATAACTTACAGTGGAGGTGAAATAAATCAGGAGGGGTGACAGAATTACAGTCACAACTCCACCACATAAAAAATTTCAATAATGTCCAACGGTCATGGACATAAGTAAGGACATGCTTCGAAGGATTAATCCTTCATCATCAACAAATGTGTCAAAAGAAAATCTGTAAGAAGAAACAATGCTCATGTTGGTTATAAGTATTGATTAAGGAATCTGAATGTACCTACCATTATTGGTGGAAAAAGTTTACTTAATACAAAACATGAAAAAAAAAAAAATTTTGTTTTTAACCGCGCATAGTGCGGGTGAGCAAATGTTAGGGAACCATTATTTCAAGCTCAATAATAAGAGCTTAGTTTTTTAAGATAAAGTGAAACAATTCAATTATCAAAATGAACCAACATGTGGACCTGGATTTGTTGAATTAGGTTAACTAATCACAAATGACAATGGGCTTATATCACAAAAAAATTTTATTCCATAATTCGATAGAACTCACCCAAACTAGCTCACCACCGCAAACCGTTTCTTGCTGTGAGCTCCCTAGGTTTTATAAAAAATTATTGAAATCCCCGATTTTTCGGACATCTGAAAACGAAGCGATGATGTGACGTCAAAACCCTAATACTGAAACAAGACTATTTCAGACAGAGATGAATGATACATGATTTCTGACAGAGTGAATTAGCACGAGATCACAGTTGAAAGAATTAATATATATATATTTTATTTTAACCATAGCGAGATGAGGTTTCTACGTCATATAAGAGGGTCCGTTTTCAGAAGGTACTATTATTTATGCCCAAAAATAAAACATTCCAGTTAATTTTTCGATAGAATTATGTCGTCAATCATTATTTATGTATAAAAGGATCATTATTAACATGGTTTGAGTTGAAAGTTCTACTAAGGTGTACACGCCCATTGATGACAATGACGCTGAGAAATAATATAGGTCCCAAAATTGATCCTTGTGGAACCCCTAAATCAGTTGAAATGAAGTCAGATGGTATTTTGTTGATTTCAACAAATTGTTTCCTAAAAGAAAATGCATCGCCAGTGAAGCTGTAGAGCAGTTATTTAGCTATAATTGAAAACAAAAATTGGTTAAATCTGGAGAGGGACAGATCGGAGCCTGAACGAACTACTAGAGTCTAGCCATAGCGCCATAGCGAGGTAATATTGCGCGTGGCTCGCTGCTCGTTGGGTGCGAGAACTTGCAGTTACACAAAAATAAATATGATTACGAGTATTTGCGAGTATGAATATAAAAATATTGTTGTGAAATGGTACATAAAGCAACTGGTATCGAAGAGGCCCTATCAATCAGAATCATGACACACCACAAATCGATTTATTCATATAGAACACTCTACTTTTTATGATTATGTAGTTTTGTAGGCACATAAAATATTGAATCATTATTCTCAATCACCCATTCCTCAGATATCCTAATTATACATAAGGTATAACTATTACGTCTTTGGATGATATTATATCGCACAACTTTGAACACTGATGTGAGGAAATATAATTCCACAAAAATTCCCCCTTCCTTGAAATAGTAATTTTCCTAACAAGTGCGGAAAGTGATTCTTTCCCGCATGAGTTAGGAACAATATTTTTTCTACAAGCGTAGGAAATTGATTGATTTGTAAAATTAATCATTCATTCATATAGGAACAACTAACTAGAGAAATGTTTTCTCTATCTACTGATTATTAGTAATAGCTATTGTTAACTTACAGTTTGACGCATTATGTATAGGTTCATTGCGGAAGCCAGCAGGCCGATAAGTTGTTTGGTCTCTAGGTTTCAGACACTTCTAGGAAATGAGCCAAAAAACCTTCTTCTTTATTTGGTATTTTCATTTCTTTATTGTTGCACCATTCAATAAAACGCGTGTATAGCTTCTCATACCTTTTTTAAGACTTCGTTGGCAATAACGCATCACGCACGCTTGTAGAAAAAATTAATATCAGCGATCAGAACGTTTTTCGTTATATTTTATAACGACGAAGAAAACTTGAATGGATTTCTGAGAGTCTGGAGGAAATGTGACATTCAACCATCCAAACACTTTAATAAGGGTCCGAAAATGCTATCTAAGGGAGCTACGCCTCTCTGAATAGGACACCTCAAAGACGATCAGTAAATATACGTAAATCATAAAGTCGATTTTCTCCTAAATGGTACGCTCTATCGGAATGAACTAGGAGTATCTTTTTCACGTAAAAAACTCTAGAATTTTATAATTTTCAAACTAAATCACAGTAACCTGAATATCAAAAGTAGAAGGAATGTTTTTACACTTACCCCCCTTCGCATGTGGCGCCCCTGAATACAATTTTGAAATTTCCTATTTACCATCAAATGCTCATGCCGTAAACCTATTTTCGAAAATTCATTGTTGAGGATTTTGAAGTTATAGAGAAAAAATCGTATTTGAGGTGTCCTATTCAAAGGGGCGAATTTTCGGACCCTTATTAATAGGAACTTTTTGCCTCATTTTCGTGCAAGGAATACCCCCCCTGGAAAGAAGCCGCTTACTTTTGAATCGCCCTGTATAGTTGATGGAGGCTACTTGCTTCACAAATATTTCGAGTTCATTGCTGTATTTAATTATTCAACCACAGTCTCCAAAACTTCACTTCATCGCATGACAAATAAATGAGATATAATAATATAATAATAATAATACATTCAAAGTGAGACGCGCTTCAGAATGTAATGTAGAGGTTATGTTGAAAATCAGTCTAAATATCTGAGGATATAGGTTATAGGTAGTTATAGTTCGAAGAATATGCCACCTATAAGTACTTGGGGACGATCAAATACATGCCACATTTTTTATTGTCTTATTTCCTACACTGACTTGTTTAAATTTGCAGAATGTGTTAGCAAAAACTGAAAAATTTGGAGAAGATATTGATAATCTCTTGAATAATCTTGATGAGGTTGGTTTGACTTTGGATATTTCACAAAACGAATTCCACAGCTTGAGGAATACACAATTCATAGAGAACAGAGTGTATGAGGATGATGAAACCATGGACAGCAATGTTGAGGAGAAGGTAACACTAACTATTTCAATACATTTTAAACGATATTGGGATGAACATAACTTCCGAGGGTTATGTTGCTGAATACGCGTTTCGGGAGAATTGTTGAGTGTGATCATGATATCAACGTTGTTTCCACAAGTATCTAGCCGTACCAAGCAACTGGTTCCGCGGTTCCGAAGCCGTCCGATCAATCATCGCTGATGCATAGAGAACGCGCCAAATTTAAATAATGATAATGTTGATGTAAAATCTCCCATATGAGTTTCATTCAATTTGATGTGATTAAATGTAATTGCACCCTCGTACCCAAAAACTCTTGTTTTTCTGTTACATTGTATTTTTTTTTCATGTTATCAATTGGTTGGAAGTGTACCCGAAATTAATTCTCAAAAGCTATCCATGACGAGAATCATACTCAAATCATAAATGCAATTCTTATCTCCAAATACCTACTTATTTCCAATCAATATTGCTGAGAACAGTCGCAAATAATAGCTGAAAACTAATTATATTTTGAAATTCCGAAAATTCGCTTTAAACTTGAATTGCTGTAACTTGGAAAGTTTTATGTTCATGAAGGTGGTTCTCATTTCAGTAGGTGTGAATTGTGTGTTCAACAAAAAGATGACCAGTTTGAACATTTTAATGTTTCTCAGCAAACTTCAGAATCACATGGAAACATCTGACAAATGAAACTCTAACGTGCATTTCAATGACATTTACCACTACATTCCATGATACATCTAATAATTTCATGAAAATATATATTTCTTGTCAACATTTATTTTTCATTCATTTCAACTAATTTTGTTCAGAAGTAAACAAATAATAAGAAAATACATTTGAAATTAAAAAATGTCAGTCGCTGAATGTATCTGATGAGTAATTTCATTTGATTTTTTGGTCTTCGCAATCGGATATTCAATAGCGGCGCTATGGGCTGGGGCGTTTTTTGTCACTCAGCCTATATATTTCAAACAGGTAGAACATATAACCACCGCAATCACCAATATCATATAATTTTTTCAAAACAAAAAACAAATTCAACATACGCTAACTATACATTGTCTTTCAGAAAAGTGGCATTATATGGGAAATTTTTTTAATAATAATTCATTTTGAAATTCGACTCTTCTTGGTGTGAAATACTTCAAGTAAGAGTAATATTTTTCTTAAGTAAGGAAGGTCATGATTCACATATTTCTGAACGATTCGGTATGAAACGACAGGAAAAATTGATCATGCCCAAAAATTGTAGCTGTTCCGTTTTATTAGTAGGTGCAGGAAATCTTTTTATTACAGCAATTATTCTTCCTGAATCAACGTATATGTTTTCATTAGAAATGTGGTGTCCTAAAAATAACAAAGCATTTACACGAATTTCACATTAAGTATGTTTATTCAGTGTGATTCCTTCTGCTTCAATTCGGGATACAACTTTTTCCAATATCTTATTATGCAATTCTAAAGTTGGAACATGAATCAGAATGACATCAATATGACTGTTTTGACTACCTGAGCTTTTCAAGATTCAGATATAACTACATCTAATGATAACTTGGTATACTTGCCTGATTGAGATTGAAAAATTGTTCATTACTTGCCAATGGTGTTAACAAAAGAGTTCATGAAAATCTGATATCATTGCCTTTTTGATGGAAGTTATATTCTCAAACAAGATATAGGAAGGGCGATTGCTTTGTATGAGAACATACAATTTTTGCCAAAAAAATATTTGTAGCCACTTTTCAAAAATGCCCATTTTCGAAGAACACTTTGTAACTCCGAAACGAAGACAAGTATCGACATGCGGTGTTCACCATTGGGTTTTGCATGAGAACCGACCCTTAGGCACCGACATCAGTTTTCTTCTATCTAGTTGGGGAATAGGACTTTCCCTTTGAAAGTTACCAATTTGGTCCACCCTCTACAATCCCCAAAATGGCCGCTCTGTTCAAGGTCATTGTTTTCGACATCAAAGGTGCTGACAAGAGTTTCGCTCCTGTTCCTGTAAGGTACCTATGGCCTGGTGCAGTCGAATACTTATATACAATGGTTTGATTTTTCTGGGGGAACTCATTGACAATATATTTATGATGCAAAAGAAACAGGTGTATTGAATGTGCCCACCAGAGAACATCATGCAAACAAATATTGCCTGAATCATGTATTTTAACAGTACCATTATTGTATATATGTCTCACAGTCTTGAATATCAAAAACCAACTGCCAGAATTTATTCGACAGCTCTCAGCATAACATACAGTGTGTCCCAGATTCGCTTCTCTATACAGGGATCTCGGCTCCTATTATACCTACAGCAGAGGTTAAATGGGGAGAGTTTTAGAGGAATCTTAGTGCATTCGATAACCGGCTTCAGATTTACGATCGGATAATTGGTTTTGGAAATATCGGCGTAAAACCGAAAATGACGGATTTCGTTTTTCGTCAGTAAATCCGAAACGGTTACTTTGACAGCTGTCAAAATGTCACATTATCCGGACACTTTTTTAAGACGAATAAGATAGCATGTATGACATGTCACGATCGTATTTTGTTATCCCGCAAGCCGCCTCAACTTTCATCTTTCTTAAGGCCGCCATATTGGAATTTTCGATTTTTGGAAAGAGCGTAAAATTTACAGTCAAGTGATGTCTCACAAGTGCATAAAAGTTTCGAGTTTCATAGAAATATCACACTTTGTAAAGTATTAGGTATCGATTTTTTCTAAGGAGGCCATGATTTACTTGACAGAAAATAACACGCATAAAAGAACTCATAAACGCATTGAAATTTCGATAGAACATGAACGTAAATAACGACTTCTCAACAAGTAAGATATTTTGGGACACATTCCCAACTATTGGTGTTTAAAAAAAAGTCAGAAAAATCATCGTCATTAATTAACACTTGAACCTTTGAACAACCTACAATTAGATACAAAAATTGAAAATGAAAATCGCGACAGAAATATTTTACAAGTTGTAATGTGATGTCATGTAAAGTAAAATCTAATTATGCTCCTAACTGCTTTTTAAATGAGTGTTAATTTACAAATTTGCAAAATGACGTCCATTTGCATCGAGACATTTTTGACAATTGGTGACTGTTTTTCTTACAACCCTAGCAAGTGTATTACCGTTGATATTTCCAAATGTGTCCAGAACTCTTCGTCTCAGGATTTCTATGGTCGCGGGAGGATCAAATTCATAGACCTCATTCTTTGTGTGACGCCAGAGGTAGAAATCCAAAGGTGAGAGGTCAGGGGATCTCGGGGGCCAAGATATTGGACCATTTAAAGAAATAATTATTTCGTCAAATTGCTCTCTAAAGAAGTTCCTGACTTGAATGGTGTTGTGAGCCGGACATCCATCTTGTTGAAACCAGGTTATTCCAAACTCATCTTCGGTTATAGTAGCTCGTAAAGCCGGCACAACCTGGTTTCGCAAAAGCTCTAGGTACCTCTGTCCGTTTAGGTTGTATTCAAACACAAATGGTCCTATAAGTCGATTTCAATAATAATTTATAACAGGTGCCCAATTGAAAAAGCTAAGTCAGATCAAATTACCAATGACCCCACACCAAAAGTTACTTCAAAATCTAGTCTGTAGACGTCTCTCTGCCACTTCGTGAGGGTTTTCCACAGCCCAATGATGAGTGTGATGAGCTTATTAAAAACTCCACAATTCGTGAACCTACTCTCATCGGACCACAAGACATGATTTACAAAATCGGGATTTTCATTACACTTCCTAGTACACCACTCACAGAAGCGCATTCGTCTTGGAAAATCAGAAGTCCTTGAACTATTGTGGGTTTGTATGGATGGTACTTATTCTTATTCAACACTCTCTGTACCGTTGATTTTGACACACCAATTTCCCGTTCTACAGTTCGTACCGATGCTCTGGGATTTTCGTTGACAGTTTGCAAAATGTTTCTGTCGCGATTTTAATTTTCAATATTGTATCTACTTCTAGGTTGTTCGAAGGCCACATGGTCAGTCGAATTAACTACGATTTTTCTGAATTGGGTTTCATGAGGTTGTCGTCGTTTAGGGTACATCTCCAAATACCGAGCTGAAGTAATGTCGGCGTTTCTGCGTGACTGCAAGTACAGCGATAATGATTTTGAAATATCGATATTATCGATATTATCGATATTATCGATATTATCGATATTATCGATATTATCGATATTATCGATATTATCGATATCGATCATCGATATATTTCTCCAAATTATTATCGATAATTATCGATATATCGATGATTTTTCCCACCCCTAGTCGTGACAAGGGTATTTTTATGAAACTAATTTTTTTAATGATAATTTACTTTTTGGTTCCTAGGTGGGTATGATAAACAAAGCTATTTTGTCATTATGTTATTTTTCAAGAAATGAGCGATCGAATGATAAAATAAAAATATTCCATATAATTATATAACACACCTTACTTGATACTTGTTACTCGTTCAACACAAAACTAACCAAAAAGTTTGCCACCACAACTAATAAGGGTTGCCACGTTGCCAGAAGTCAGATAGCTTCAGGCAAGTTGCTGTGCTGGAGTCCTATGTTGTTTGAACAAGGCTAATGTACAGGGTGCCGTGTCTTATTATATTTTCATTCTTACCTCAATTCTTACCAGCAGGTATCTATTTTATACAGGGTGTTCCATATAAAAAACAAAAATACCTATTTTTCTGATGCTCATTCATTTTGATAATTTTGATATTATCGGTTATATCGATAATTTCGATAATTTCGATATCATCGATGATATTGATAATTTCGATAATATCGATAATATCGATAATATCGATAATATCAATAATATAGATAATATCGATAATATCGATAATATCGATAATATCGATAATATCGATAATATCGATAATATCGATAATATCGATAATATCGATAATATCGATAATATCGATAATATCGATAATATCGATAATATCGATAATATCGATAATATCGATAATATCGATAATATCGATAAT